CCAGTGACATAGCTGAAGCTCAAAGTTATTCTGCGTCCACTGTAACTACTACCGATGTCATAAAGACCATGATAAAATCATTATTGAGACTGCTACATGATCTTCAAATACAAGAAAGAAGTTTTATGCAGCAACCCAAAATGGTAGTGTCATATGTGACAATTCAATCACTTCATCCAGTTGTTTTTAATGTTCAATTAAATTAATCTTGGCACTAAAATGATTAAGCTCATCTATTCTACAGACATACTTCACACAGCCTAAGATTTAATAAATAGAAAATCAAGATTTACCTTGGCATTTCTACTGAAGAATTAAAATTCTGCAAAAGTATTAAATAAAGTTGAATCACAGAACTGGCTGCCACTCAAGTCATTTCATCCTCCTTTGTCACTATGCAACACTTGACCAGCAAGACCATTAAAATTAACAGCAAAGCAAACAAACAAGCGAGGATGTACCAAAAACTCAACAGTTTAACTCAGATGGGTGATGAAACTGATGCTGCAAAACTATCCCATGAAAATTACAGATAAATATAAATACCAATGTGAAATTTAAACAGAAAGAATCAATACAAACAAAATTTCAATTTTAAACTCAAGGTACAAGATATTAAGTTAATCCAGAAGAAGACTTTCATTTATGAGTAGAGTTTGTTCATGTGCAGTAATAACAGACAGACAGACAGATTGAGCAAACAGCTTTCATCGTACCCCCAAACACAAGTTAACCATCTTCACAAATTACATTCATATTGCTTTACGGTGATATTCAGGAGGTGCGATGCCATACTCTTGTAAGCTGAATAAGGTCACAGTGTTTTTATGAAGGTACCTGAAACAGAAACTTACTCTGAATTAACAATCATTCTTGTCAATCATTACCTGGGTTTTGATAATGTGTGGTCTTGTAGATGGCAACCATTGTTTTGGAGTAATATATTGTCTCCATCTTCACACAATGTCACAACTCAAAGAACCGAAACTACACCACTGTCAAAAACTAACACTTCAGATTTATCCTTGATTTGCGAAAGAATGAAGCCACGTGGTTCATAAAACAACAGAATTATCCATTGCACATAAGCATACATCAACAACATTTCTATTACGTAGGCCAGTGGTCCCCCAACGCAGTGCCCGCGGGCGCCGTGGCACCCGCGTTGCTACAGAAAGGTGTTATACTGAATAATGAAGGCCATTCAACCATGAACATTATAAAATCAAAGCACAGATCTCGACTTACTGATGCCCATCTTGACGATTGTTTGCGAGCAGCAACATCATCCTACACTCCCAAATTTGAAAAACTGGCCGATTAAATGCAGCGCCAAACATCACACTAACTTCCCACTTGAGTAATAATAATTGTACTTACAAAACTACGTATTTTTGATTGCATGGTTTCTTGTATCATTAAACGTTGTGTTGTTTTGTGTATTATTTGGTGTCCTTATCTTATTTGTCCAGAGAAAAGAAAATTTGGCTTTGTTAATTGGTTGGTGCCCGCCACGATCTCATAAACTCTCAAATGTGCCCATAGGCACAAAAAGTTGGGGACCACTGATGTAGGCCTTAGGGGAGGAGGTGAAACATTAAAAATAAGAAAGACACTGGCTGTCTTATATTCAGCTCACACATACTGTATCACAAGCTATTCCCAATAGGGTCGTAGAATGGACGTCTGGTCTGTACTTCCCACAGTATATTTTCCTGTCATTTCACAGCAAGTTATAAGGAACTATGAATCAGACTGATGGAAACATCTACTGAGAAAATTGGAACACAGCGTCTGTTTTATACGAACAGTGTGCAATTTTAGATGAATTAAAAAAATCAGAGAGTGCAGACACCTTTAATGTATTAACACTGAATCAATGAAAGTATTAACCGGACACATTTTAGTTCTCCAATATTTTTAAAATCATTTTACTTCATTGTTTACCAAATATTAGTTCAACTTACCTTAAGAAGTCTTGTATATGTGTTAGAAGCAGCTGAATACTTTTTTCATCCAGAGGAGTATATGCTAACATACTTCCCAGTTTCACTGTAATGAAACACATATCCACTTAAATACTTATATTTAAGGTCTTGTATCAGTATACTTTATTTTAAGCCCAAATGCATCAAAATCCATTTTTAACCTGCATTCAACAATCTCTAAATCTGCATATACAAATCTTTCATAATACAAAAAAATATGAGATAAAGAGGAGGGGGGAGCACCAACAAAAACCACAATACAGTGGATTCCAGTTAATTGGGCCGCATCGGGACTAGCACACTTCGGCCCAATTAAGCGGCTGCCCCAGTTATGCGAAATTCCACGTAAAGAGTTAAAGAGATCTGTTCTTTAAGATTGGTCCCAAATAAACGGCTGCCCCGATTAAGCAATGGCCCAATTAAACGGAATCTACTGTATTATGAAATTTCAGCTTAACGTCATCAGGTATATCAATCTATCTCTCGGAAACACTATACACGTCTTCTTGCCACCACCTGTCCCCTCCACACAACAAATTTTCACTTTGCTCTAAGTCTGGTGAAATTTGATACAACAATACGTATATAATCAGCTGGAGTTATGAATGGTGACAGTACAGTGAGATGTTTTATTGACAATGGTGTTAAAGAATGACCAATGGATGTGAGAAATTACAGATTCAGAGGTGACTTATGATGAGGGCTTACTGCAGGTTAGGTTAGCATTAAATTCACATATGCAGTTACCAAACAAAGAAAATAATATAATAAAGCACACACCACAAAGAAATAAGTGTACATAAATCAAGCAGGATCTTAAGATACAAACTGGTAAGCCATTCACATAATACCATATCTACTAGCATCAGAGAATCAGAAAAGCGTAGTTGACTAAATTGCTCGGTTATTCTGAAGAATAACAAATCTGTTTGCTTTCAAGGATAATACTGTAATCCAGATGATACGCATGCTAGTTAGAATATTATCATAAAATTTACAGTTTTGTTTTTCTGTGTCATAATCAGATGCTGTTATAACTATAATATTTTGTCAAATCCACAACTATTTTCTTTTTCTGCTTTATTTATGTACAAAATGTAACATGCAGAATGGAAAAGAATGATGTTGCATATTGTGAAAACCAAGTCAGACAAACTGATTAGTTCATAAACTTCAACATTTTATTAAAAATATATTAAACATTTTGCCGTCAATCACAAATATAATATTGCTAAAAGATTAAAACATCATTTAACGTTCCCCATCGAGTACTCGATTACATAGGAACTTACACGACTAGTTTCGGCTATAATTTAGCCATCAACGGGTGTTATGTAGTACAAACTTATCACTGAATCACTGATTTTATAGTTTTTTAGTTTTTTATGATTTATAGTCTAAAATCATAAATCATAAAAAACTATAAAATCAGTGATTCAGTGATAAGTTTGTACTACATAACACCCGTTGATGGCTAAATTATAGCCGAAACTAGTCGTGTAAGTTCCTATGTAATCGAGTACTCGATGGGGAACGTTAAATGATGTTTTAATCTTTTAACAATATTATATTTGTGATTGACGGCAAAATTTTTAATATATTTTTAATACTTATAAATCACAATATGACGCATTTACAATATCTTCAACATTTTAATTTCATTACAAAATCGGAGAACTCATTCTGATGAAATTGGTAACAAATATCAATGTATATTTCTTAAACAGAAAATTTACCTGAAGATTTATAATGAGGGTGACTGAGGAAGAAAACATTTTACAAAACTAAAAAAATTATTACTCAGACATTCATTTCTTCAACATTTCACTGTTCTCACACACATTAACAACAGAAAACCAAAATAAACTTACCAAACAGTCTAAGAAGGTGTATGGCTCCATAGACTTTGCTCATTGATGTGTCAGGATGTGTTTGAAGAATCTGAAAATATCACAAGAAAGTTTCAAGAACACCTTACAATACACAGACTCTGTAGAGCTAAGACAGAATATGCAGTATAGTATACATACATCATTTATTTTAATCACAGAACAGAACACAAGTTAACAAATTTATGTTCACAGGAGACTCTAATTCAACACTTAGAAATCTTAGACAGTATTTCATAATCAGTGGTCTACAGACCAATTTAAACCAGACCGAAAATTCCATTTGGTGTTCTATTACACAGGTTTCCCCAGGAGAAAGTGCACAAACTGATGGAAATATTAATCAGTCAATTTTTAATAAAATGTATATTTACACGTGTCCCGTTCAGAATGTCTACAGATTTATAGGTACCTTATTCCACAACTATCACAAATATTTATAAATATGCTGTTAAATACTAAACTGTTCAATCCATGACTTAAATCTACAATAAATGTAAGGTCCTTTCAGTGCCTGGAGCATTCTGCATTCTCTTCGTACCATCCAATCCTCTGCAAAGCAGTGCATCTTGTCCGTTCATCTTTTCTTCACAAACCAGAGACTTAATATGGCCACAGAGATAAAAATTTAGTGGATTAAGTTTGAGAGATCTTGGTGGTGAAGCAACTGGCCTGATACTAACAATCCAGTGGCCAGGATAGGTGTCACGAAGGAAGTTTAACCTATCACATGAAATGTAGTACAGCTACATCATGTTGCGTACACACATGAAGTTGCATCACCAAAGAAATGTCCTGTAGAAAGCAGCAAAAAGCTTATGTACATTTGCCCCGTGAACTGGCCTTCAAAAATATGAGATTTGTACTGAACTTTTACTGGAAATTACTTACAGCCATATCACGAGGATTCTCTGAATAGAGACGTGGAATGTGTAGTGTGTGTTGTGTGTCTTACTCCGTCCATGAGTAAACTACACTTCATCACTGAACAAAATCAAAGGGCACTATTCCAGGTCAGCATCAATCCACCAGCAATACTATAAACTTATGTCACAATCCCACTGTTCTACATGTTCCACAGGGTGAATGTGATACAAGCCTCCAAAATTTAATGCTTACCAGATTGATATGTGAAGAGCATGAAGCTATAAGACATGCTTCTACTACTCTGGTGCAGACTACATTCAGCATGGCAAAAATGTTCTCCTGATCTTGTCAGCAAGGACATTCTAAAAACACGTGGGAGGAAACATGCCAGTTTCCTGCAGATGAATGTGAAATGCCATGAAAGTTAATTCAAAAGAAATTCTCTGACCTGGAAACTGCCTCTGATATTCTGCAACCACACTTGTTGTGCTCCCATTACAGAAACCATAAATGAAGTGCATATCAACATACTCCTCATTTGTGTACAGTGCATACAACATTGTTTAAAATACACATAGTATTGTCATGTTTTGCAGCAACATACAGTATTCATGGATGCATCATCATGACAAATACAACGCTGAGAGGTTTATTACCCCATCTGATGATGACGTGTATCTCGAAAACAAAGCGTCTCTGGAAAAAGCATTTTTGACTTATTTTTTTAACAAGGAATCACACTATGGGGAGCTTGTGTATGAATTTAAATTCAGCCTGTATAGTAACACTATTACATGACAAAAACAATAAGATGTTGGATAAATTTTTTGTTAAGTTGATGTCTGAAGGTTTCTGACGATGGTGCATTATAATCTGTAAAGGAGGTTCTTTGAATTTCATCCATTGTCTGCATTTCAATAAAATTATGTTTCAGAAGCTCGATCTTCTTCCATAACTAGGTAAGGTAAGGAAAGGAATGGCAGAAACCCTAGCTGTTCGGCCCCCTGGCTGAGCTAGCCTCAGCCTCTTTTACCTGAAGATGGAAGAAGATTCAGCTTCTGAAACATAATTTTACTGAAATACAGATGGCAGACGAAGTCCAAAATACCACTTTTACAGTTTGTGTTAAGTTGTTAATTAGTTTCTGCTGTTTGGTGCGGTGTTCCTATCTTATGTGACCTGTAAGGCAACAGTTTAATTACATACTTGTGTTTCATATAGTGTCACTTTATATGGTAAATTTGTAATTTATTACATTCACCTCAGCATATTGTGGTCTCTCAAACTTGTACAGCAACTGAGTCCCCAACATGACATTGAAGTACTCCTTGATGCCATTGGTCACCTCAATTAAAGCACTTTCCCTGTAACAATACACTTAGTTATAACTAACACTGGAAACACAAGGTTGAAACAAAAAATATTTCATTACCAATACAGTGCTTTAAAGTTTCCTCTCAGCAGTAGATAAAAAAATCTATAGCTATTCAAGGAATATTTGTATATGCAACAGCATTAGAGTTTCTACAAATTGATAAAAATTCAATGCAAGTATATCATTTTATTGAAAAGCAACATTTCTGCAGGCACACTATGTGAAGGTGTTTCTCTGAAATTCTGTATTAAAGATGTTACTAATGATATAAATTAAATATTCATCCTCTGAAAACGCAAATTTTCCTTCTTTCTTCTTTATTACGCCGTCTCCTTTACAGGAGGTTGGCGACATATTATGAACAGGATCCTTCCATCCTTTTCTAAGACTGGGACCTGTTCATATATGTTTTTTAGGCAGGTGATAAGTAGTTTGCCATTGCCTTCTTCTGTGTGAATGGAGTAATTGTTGGGATGCCACGGAGAAACCGGGAAAGCCCCGGGGGAAAACTCTGTGTTGCCTAGACCATGGCCTTGCCCAACACAAGTTATAAATTCGGGCACGGCCGGGAATCGAACCCGGGACCACAGGATTACAAGTCCAGCGTTCTGACTGCTAGACCACCATGGCGGTACGCAAATTTTCCACCATTAATATATTTGACTTTTGCCAATTCGTCAGCGCTGTTCATGAATGACATATAACACATGTTCAAATCAGTGAAAATCACAGCTTCATTCAGTATAAGTTTTATTGGTCTTTGATGGAGAACTACTGTGTGGACAGTTGTATAATTTGCCTAACTCTCAAATTCACTACCCTCACTACAAGCTGCTCAGTCTGTTCAGAAGCCATCTGGTAAAAACATGGATGGGGCAAGAGGTGTGCACAGGGTATTGGTCAGGAAGCCTTAGGGGAAGAGACCTTGATGTAGATGGGAGGATAATCTCAGGTGGGATCTATGGGAGATAGAAGTTGAAGGAGACTGGAGTTTGTTGGCCCAGAACATAGTCCACTGGAGGGCTTTGGTTAATTCGATGATAAACCTTTGGGTTATTAAGCCATCTAGTTAGTTATAAATTCCAAACGGCATGTTAAATTACTTCTGGTACCATCCTTCAATGAACTATGAATGATAAAACTTACAGGCACTTCATGCATGACAATGTAACAGTCCACATTAAAAACAGTTCAAAAAGGGAAGAGAGAAATGGAGAACAGGTAATAAGTTGAGAAATGTGGGCTCCTCAGTCATCAGATTTACATCTATGTTATTTTTATTTATAAAGGACGTTGAAGTTAAAGTGAGACACAGCACATAAACCAAAACTTTTGCCATTTAAAGAAAACCAACGTGTCACTTGTGCATAAATATTTTCTCATGATTTGAGACCCAATTAGCAGCAGGTGTACATTTGAAGTATCTTCTTTAAAATAAGTTGCAAGAGGCTGGGAAAGAGGGGTAGTATTATCTATGCCAAGCCACCAGCATTATGCAGAAAGTTGTTGACTGCAGCATTGTAACCCGAAGTAAACAGAACTCCTTTCATTATCACACTCCTGTGATTTTAAAGCTATTTATGTGTTTAAAATTTCTCCAATTTTATGTCTGAGATGATCTTGAAGAAGATCTCTCATAACCTGCAAGATAAGTGAAAGCTGGCTGCACTTGCATTAAAATTAACTCTGGACTGGCTTTACTCCTTTACTATGAAAATATTGTTGGGTAGTAACACCTTGAAGATGGAGGCAAGTATGCTCCTCCAAAGTGTTGGTATCTACCCACAAGTTCACATAACATTACTACCCATAAGACCAACATCAAGATCTCTGTTGCCATGAAAACCAAAAACCTCATTTACTGTAATAATGTTCACTGTACTTAGATTATGAAGATTTCTGTCTTCTGGGTTGTTGTGCCGTGTAGTCTAGTCGATGCTAACCAACGTTTCAGAGGTCAATATTCATCGCCCTGATGACGGAGGCAGTATGACCTCTGAAACGTTGGTTAGCATCGACCAGACTACATGTCACAACAATCCAGAAGACAGAATCTTCATACTCACCGCTGTGAAAACCTCAAATCTTATATATTTAGATTATGTTCATAACATCACAATAAAAACAGTTCAGACTATTGGATCCTGGATACTGAGATTGACCCGTTCTTCAAGTGCCTGAGCACTGCGGGTCCCAACTTTTCGTTGGCTTGATCTATAGACATTCGGTAGGACTCCTTGGACGAGGGATCGGCCCGTCAAGGCCTCTACCTGTACACAGGACAGCACAACACAGAAAAACACGGACAAACATCCATGGCTTGAGTGGGATTCGAACCCACGGTCCCAGCGACCAAGCTTACCGTATATAACCTATTTAAAAATACATAACAGTTTAAATACAAATACCAAGCTAACTTACATTAATCTATAACAAATAATTCAATATTAGTATTAGTACTTTGTTACATACTTGTTAGGGGTGTTGCTTTTACTTGAAGTCTTGTGTTTGACGTAATTCTCAAGGATTTGTTCTACAGTAACTTTTGCTGGCAGGTTCACAAGCTGTAAAGAAATAAAAGATCATAGAAGATACGTGTACAACTTTAGCTGTCAAGGGAACTGTGAAACGGAGAAACCATAAAATAAAGAACAACTACTACACATGAGACTTACTGGGCCCTGTAGACATCAGATCCCTGATGAAGAGAACTTAGGCGGTTCTTGAAATATCAGTTTTTTGCAACCACCTGATGTGGCTGATTGCCCGAGAACACTTCATTGCATGCATAATGTTACCAGCCAATTTTTAAATTAAATCTCTCAACATACATTGCAAAAAACAATTATTCACAAAATTTATTTTAGATATAATCTATTATCTCACCTTTCTCTGCCTTGAGATAAGATCCCAATCATCAACAAGCCATGGCTTCAACTCATCAGGAATTTTCACTTTCACTTCGACTTTTGTCAGAAACTGCTCCTCCTGACATCAGAAACATGAATATCACTGAATCTGTTTCTCATATTAGCCAATTTACAAAAATACAAAGATGACAAACAGATTAAATATGCCTTCCAGTTGAAAGCTTATGGTTTGCCACATACAAACATCGCAGAAAATATAATTAAAGCAGTTAACGTTTATTTTTAAGAATTACACACACACACATAATTTTGAGATAAAAACAAACCTTACAACTGATGGCTGTGAGCAGGGAACTAAGTAATATGCGAGCCCTACCAAATGGAAAGTCCAAATTTATGACATGGTTTGTGGTATAAGAAGAATAAAAAATATCAACACAGAAACACTGAAGAATGACTACCGAGTGATAGCATACGAACTTGGCTTCAAACACATGACAGACAGCCATTGTCAATGCTGGGAAATGGGTGGGAAGAATGAGAGTGAAATTCATACTGTTGTGAGGGGGAGTCAAAACAATTTACAAAAACAAGCAGTCATTAGAAACTATTTCTTAAAATAACATCAGTTGTGTAAAGAAATGTAAACCATTTTGTGAATTTTTATAAATGTATCAAACAAATACTTTGGATTACCTGTCTTTTTTATTATTTGTGCAGCTTCTCCCATTTATTAGCCTAGACAATCAAGAGTTTACTGTAGGTCTCATATTTTTTTAAAAAAGGAAATGTTCCAGTGTCAGATTATGCTTACAGTCTCAACAGTTGGATCCAGTCGGCCACGTTTCTTACGAGGAACATCTGAAGAGGAGTCTTGAGAAGATGATGGTGTTGAGGCAGGGCCTTTAATCTTCAATACTGTTGACTTATCTGCTAATGGAGTGGAGGCACGACTGTCAGAATCCTTACCCCCACTTTCTGATTTGCGTGTTTTAGATGGTTTCTTGTTTTTCCTTCAAGAGCAGGCAGACATTACGGAAAAATGCTTTACAAAATTATATTTCATCACATGGGAACAGGAGAATTAAACACCCATACTACAATGTTGCTGGCCAGACTTAATGGGGTTAGTGGTTTAACAGCATGCTAATGTGGTGCATGGCCAGCTACACCACAAATAAGCCATAACACACAGCTGATAAAGCTTAAATCACGCTTAGATATCAGCTCACAGATAACATCAATGCCCATGTAATGTCCAATTGGCTGACTATTAAGCAGGTATTAGGGGAGTGAGAAGATAAGAAGTGTTTTTATTTTCCTTCAAACACTTGACTCTACCTTCAATCTTCTTCCTCTATTCATAGTGTGTGACTGTGAACTTATTACTTTGTAGTTATTTCAAACATTCCCAACATTCAAAACTGACTGCTAAATGCTAGAAACTGTAACAGAGAAATAATGCACTTACTGTGGGTTGGCTTTATGAGCTCTCTGCAGTTCCTTCTGTTTCTGGACATTGGCTTCATTGTATTTCAACACCCGACTTTCAGGCACCCATTCATCCCAGCTGTAAGCCATAAGGCAGTACATAAAAGACATATAATTTTAGACGAATGTATAAATACTGATCCATCTTAAGTGGGTCCCTTGTCACCACATCAGGCATGTCCTCAAGTTGCATATGGAGGAGAAGGCCTCCAGATATCGAGAGTAGCTACAATACTGTTAAAGGAAACAGGATCCCTTTTATTCACACAGACTTATTAAATACGCCCCTATGCAGAAGCTTCAAAAGTTTTGGAAAAGAAGCAAATATAATAACACTGTAGCAGGAATCCTGGAAAATTCTCACACATACCAAAACAAAAACACTACCCTATAATCAGCAGCAAAACTGTTCAGTTTTGTTTGATTAGTGAGCATGAAAAGTTCCAGAAAAGGGTTCATACTGTGGAAGGTAATGGACCATCACATGCAATGGGCAAACATAAAATTTTTCAAGTGACTGGGAAAATTAGTCACAGAAATGGTGAAAATTCTTTGGACAGAAAACGGTAAACAAACTGGCTTGATCCATGGTATCAAGCAGTATGCATTAAAGGACAGCACTGAAGCATAAAAATATGACCTGCACAGTGGATAACCAGCAAATCATAAAACAAGGACAATGGGAGACAGGAGCAGGTGGTTATGTGCTCTGAGTGACGTCAAACAGATGATTGCATCAAAAGACAAAATTTCAGCTGGTAGTTGACACAGTAACCTCAGTGAGGATGTGAAGATGGACTGCATCTGTCAAAGAATGCTGATGCAAGACCAATGTGCAGACCACATGAGGATCAGTGCTGAGCTCATCAGATAATGATCTGGGCCTTCTTTAAAAGACCCAAAGTAAAGGACCATCCTCTATATACAAGTAGTCATCATCGCTGGGAGTCAAGAAATTCCAGTAGGGCTGTTTCAATGCATGACAATGTTAGAAGTCTTGTTTAAGTGGCATGGCAATGAGTCTCTACTGGATAGTTCCATGGACAACAAGCAAAGGTTCAAAGAGGTGCTTACATATTTATGGAAGGTGATTTGCCTGAACCATCCTGAAATGTTGCCAGCCAAAGACTAGATATTCCTGCATGATTAACACCTGGTAGATCCAGTCATTGCTTGTGCAACAGCAGCTCATCAAGAATGGTACTGTGATGATCCCACGCCCAACACTATCCTGATCTCACATGATGCAAATGATATGTATTTATGGCTGTAAGGGGCTGTTATTTCAAGGATGCAGTGCAAGTTCAAGTGACTACTAACTGTCCTGCAAGAGCCACATGTAGTACCTTGGTTTGAACAACTATACAAATGCTGGCAGAAATCTGTAAGTGTTGAAGGATAATACTTTGAACACAACTGCATATAAGATTCCTTAATGCCACTGGCTTCGAGATATGGCTCTTGTCCCAACATTACTACATATTCTTCTCATCTGTAATGATATCAGTATATTTTAAAACAGTACCTTTTGTTCCAACCAGCATAATGAATGTAGTATCTTATCTGCTTATCCTTCACTTCAGCCTCCAGGCATTTTGCTTCATAAATAAGTGGGCCATGGAAACAAAGAACCTTTTCACCTGAAACCAAACAACACTGTAAGAGCATACAGTGTACACTTAACAGGCAAATATTGCAGAAAGAAATATAAATGACAAGCTAGCATCTACACACACAAATAAAACTAAACAGACAAACCTTATTCATTTTGAGATGATCCATGGAAGTAAAGCTCTTCACTAAACTAAATAATTATCACTATAATAAACTTCTCCTTTATAATAAACAAACATTACATTCATATGCAGCTATTCACAGTTAGTTGATACTTATTCCAAACTATATCCTGAATGAATGAACAATCAATACTAATGCTTAATTGTTCACTGTTATTAGACACTTAATAAAAATTTAAGTACACACAACTTGTTAAACTAACATTATAAAACAAACCTGATTTCATTATACTTTGAACTCATTGAAGACTTTCAGTGGTTTCTTTCTTAAATGCAAACTTCTGATGCAAGAATTTAAGCATTTGTTTTCAGGTAAAATGAACTACTGTGATAAAATTACATAAAAAAGTATTATTGTTGTAGGTGGTCTTGGAATTCAATTTGTAATGAATGCTTATACAAATATGCTAAAATACATTTATGAAACTGTTTCCATGTTTAACCATTCATTAATATCCATTAATGCAACTTTGCAAGTATTATATTAAGGTATGCTAAAAATTAAGTATGTATGCTCTGAAGTAAAATGGTCCTTAAAACTGCTCAATCTAAATTTAAAATGATTTAGCTTTAAGAATGTTTCATATAATTCTCAAGTGTCAAATTTTTTCCAACATCAGTTTATCCCGTTTCTTGTTGTTTCATGAATATTGACAAACAGATGGACAGAATAATTTTAATATGTGTTTAAAGAGCTGTGAACATGCCAAAAAAAGGTGTGTGTTAATTTCTTAT